ATATTTTCCAAATAGCCAGTAAGTATCATGTTTTAGTTACTCCACTTTGTGTTGATGGAACTCTCATCCCCTTCAGCTACACCCCTGGCCACTTGGCACTTTGGCATTGATGACACTCACAGACGCCACGCGGAGTTAACCACTTGATCTGGCCTCTACTGGCGGATCTCTAGAGTGTCTCGGCGCCTTGGATAATTGATATTAGTTTAAACATAATTCTGTCAACTCAACTTGAGTGCTTGGGAGCTAATTACGAGCTCAGGGAAACAAAGTGGGTAGTGTTTCACAGCTTCCTAAGAGATCAGGTAGTAAAGCGGGTTTGATGTTTACTTTAAAAACAGCAAGAAAGCAAAAGGAAAATCTAAACAACATTAAAACCCAATACCTCTCTGAACCTAATTACCAGCTGAAAGTAAGATCTCAAAGATATCTCATTAGGAATCTGTCCCGTAAAATCGGAGATTTCTGGCCTAAACCAGGTCACAAATTCGATTGTGTTCAGCCAGAATTTCCATGACCTTTTTCCGATTGGCTGCACCAACCAGTCCGAGTCAGCTCTTGTTGCAGTTTTTGCCTGCTAGCACGCGGATTGATGATTGAGCAGCCAGTACGGCCGGTTGGATGCCACATTCCATGGATAAGCTTGGATTGCTACTTCCGCCATGGCAATTGAGCTCGGGGAAAGGGAAAGGGTCTAGGCCGGTGTTCGGGGAGGCAGTGTGGAGTTCAAATTGAATGCAGCCAAATGCTGGGGAGGAGCAAATGGGTGGTGGAATGGGGTGGCCAGAAGGGCATCAGATTGCAGCATCTACCGCGCGCTGCATAATTTATGGCGCCCAGTGTGCCCCCGACTCCTTAATCCTCATTTTTTTTGTGTCAGTGTGTGTGTGTGTGAGTGAGTGTGCCATTTCTAGCTGTTGTTGGAGCTTCGAATTTGTATGTTGCCTTTGACACCAGCTAAAGGGGTTACGTGTCTGCCACTTCAGAGGGTAGCCTGCCCCGCCTCCCAGGAACTCAGAGCACCGCCTCCTGCCTCAAAAATCCTTCACCGCTCGTGTGTCTGCGTCTGTTTTCGAACTTTGCAGTTTTTTCGTGCCTGGGAGTTTTACAGTTTTCCGGGGGTTTTCCCGAACTCCTCGGCATTGGGCATCTCACCCATTGCTTTGGCCGTTTTTCAAATGTCTGCGCCATGTGCATGCGAAATTTCCCAATGGATCCCAAAGGGGTGTGCCACACGCAAACACACACAGACACACAGTCACAGTCGCACATTTTGGCCAGCAGACAGCGCGATAACCTGTGCTAATGAAGTGTGATGTTGGCCAAAATGTGATTCTCTTTGCCGCTTCTTTGTGACTATTTCAATCCCCAGAGATGCGTGATGAATTCTAATTACTTAGTGGGCAAATGCTGGCTTAAAAAGAGCGATTAACTTACTCAGCCTACTTCTAATATAAGCTTTAATAAAGCGATTATATTTTATCAATTACGGACTAGTAATGCGTGAGGAATAATAATAATAATTCTTTGTAATATTTTCATACTTAATCAGTTACATTTTCATGATTTTTCTATTAAATCTTTTTGTGACTATTTCCAGCTGTAAATGCTTTATGAATTATTTATTATTTGTTATTTTAGTTTAAATGCCTATTTTAAAAAATAGCAAATGGTAATCCTATTTGCCGGTTTAAGGCTTTACTTGGCAAAACACTGAGAATTTTATATATTTTGAAGCAAAATATTTATTAAATAAAAAGAACAATAATATATATCATTCTACATATATTTCATTAACACATTCTAAAAGTTTTTTAGACATTTTATTAACTACACTTAACTCTAGTCTAGTAAACTTAAATTTTTTCCCTTAGTTTAACTTATAAAATGCAAATTATTTTTCATTAAATTAGAAAATATTTTTTATATTTTTCTAGCATATTTCGCAGTTAAGCAAACAAACTTCAAACTTGTTCGCCTTCTTTTTTCCACATTTTGAGTGCTTTCAAAGTGCAAATTTATCAATCATACGACACGTATGCCCATACTGTGCTCGTGTGTGTGTGCATAATAAACTGATTTCAATGGCTGCCACTCTTTATGCATTAATTTATCCCATATTCAGCTTACCGCTCACGCTCCCCGTTGTGTGAAATATAATTTTTAATATTTTTTTCGCTATTTTATATATATAGAAAATATGTATATATATTTATGAAACAAAATTCACATCTCGCTGATGTTGATGCGTTGTTGCTGCTGCTTTTGTGGCTGATGTTCTGTGTAACATTTAAAATATGCACAGTAACTAAAAGTATTTTTCACACAAATTGAGTTTGCTACAGCCTGGTGGCTCGTGCCATGCCCTTGCAAAAAACGCCGAGACACCCACCGCCTCCCATGGGCCAAATGGCAATGGCAAAAGTCGCCTGCGCCGCCGGTTGATGCTTTGGAATTGCCAATTTTGCTGCCAGTCAACGGACGCAGCAGCCCTTGATGTTGCTGCTGCTGCTGCTGCTGGTGCTGCTGTTTGGTGCCGTGCCACTGGCTGCCACTGGCGACATGGAAAATTTGCTGCCATCGCCAGGCGTCACTCAGTCAGGCTGTAAAAGCAACAAGGCAACAAAAACACCAATGGCAGTAGTAGCGCCACCAACACAAAGAGCCATCCAGCCATACAGCCGCCCAGCCACCGAGGTGGTGGCATAATTTAATAGAGTCGGTAATATCAATAAATTTTAAAAGCCTTTTAATGCGCATCGATAAAAATAAAGCAGACGCATCTTCAGCGGCATAATTATCCCAGAAATGAGCGGCTCAAACAGCTCGGAGTTGTCGCTTGCTTTTTGGCCATCATAAATTATCCAGCCATCTGATGGCGGGCATTGCAAGACCAAATTCAATTATGCAAATCGCATGTGAGAAATTCAATTGAAATACGATAATTTCAAAGGGGATCCAGGACCGTGGTGTGGGGCCTTAACTTACTGAATGTTTTACAAGTGTATTATGTCTCTGCGAAATCAGCTCAACAGTTGAAAAGCCGGAAAACTCCGCGGCTCTCAGTTTCCCCATGGAAATTTGCGCACAAAAGCCAAGAAAGCTAAGGGAAAAAAATGCTATAATAAGTAGCAGAGCGGAGCGATAAAAAGTGTGGAAAGCTGTCGTTCATATGCAACCGAAACAATGCAACAATGCAGCAGGCACCATCCAAAAGCCACCCTAAAACCACCCATCACCACCGCAACCACCAAAGACAATGTGCAGTATCCCCATGGCTTGGTGGTGCAAAAGGAAAAGGGGAAGAGCTGCCGCCTGAAATGCAACCAACGAAAATTCATGGCATTAGGGGAATGCCAAACGAGCTGGGCAACATAGCAACAGAATCAACTAAAAAGGAGTCGGGGTATTTAGAGAGAGAGATTATAGGGAAAGAGAAGGGTCGACATAGGGATATCCTGCAGGAATAAAGTGTTTTATTACACTCTTAAAATATTTTAAATAAAAGTTAAAACATTACTTTTAAAATATCTCTAGATAAAGTGCCTTACAAATTGTTTTATTTAAAAGCTTTAAGTTTTTATAAACCATTTTCCAAAGATAAGAAAGTAACTCCTATTATCAATATGATTCTTCTTAATGATTTAATAAAACTTTTTTTTTCACTATCAATGGGAACTAAAAAGTTTAAAATTGTTTAAAAATAAGACAACAAATCTCTCTTCTTCCAAAGACAAGTACAGACAGCATTCAAAGCTCTACAAACTCCAGCTTTCACCCGAAAATTCCAAAACAGATCTGATCTAAGCTGGCTTTCTCATCCAATATACCCTCAGCGCTCAGACTCAGCCACCAACTCGAACCGATTCCCATTAGACTGGGATATATAAAGTTCATATATATATATACATTCGTGTCCTGTCTGCCTTAGTTGTTGACGATTTGGTAACTGCAGCAGTTAGCTGCTCCTTCGCCACTTTCCACTGCTCTGGCTCAGTTGCAAGTCGGGCTGGCAAGTGCCTTTGGCTTATAAAATATTTAAACGTTTTTGCGGCTTTGGCCGCAACATATTTGCACTTTGGGGCCACGGGCAGCAAATGTTCGTCCTTCTCTGTTCTTCCTTCTTTTTCTTGGCCAAAAAAAAAAAAGCAGAAAGTTCAAGTTGCGCCCGGATGCATGCTATTAATATTGTGCGACAGCTGGCGGACTGCTTAAATATTTACTCAATACGCAGGACAAGAACTAAAAAAGCCACGGCTTGTCAGTTAGCCCCCGGGAGCCCTCCGATATGCTAATACGGTTATGGTTACTGGTTGCTGGTTACTGCCACTGCTCGTGCTGCTGCTCCTGCTGCGGCTTCTATTCTTTGCGGTTGTCCTGGAGAGGAAATTTCATTATGCCAATTACTTGCATCAAAGCTGCTTGGATAATTGACTTTGCTTAGCCTCGGCGTACCCCCAATCCCGACCTCTCTTTGCATAAGACGCCTTTTGCACATTAGCTGCCCTGTATGTGTGTGTGTCCTCTCGACTCTCTTGCAGCATAAAATAATTAAACTTAATTGACAGTTTTTCGACATCACCTTTGTCGCTTTAGTGTGACAAGTCAGGAGAAGAATACCTTGCCAGGACCTCCTCCTCCCTCTACTGCTCCTCCTAACGAGCTTAACTTTTTAGCAGCAAGTGCCTGCTTAGTTTTTACGGCGAAAAGTAACTAGCGCTGTTACTAGCCGGCAGTTAGCTGCTTTTAGTCAAGTTTAATTCTCGCAGGCGGAATAAAATACATTTTAAGCAGATAAAAACAGAGGAAAAAAAGTTACTAAGCCCAGCTTGCAAATGAGAAAGTGTGAGTCCTTAGTCTATCGTCTGTTCTCTGCCTTTGCGAGTGCTGATAATCCCAACAATATAAAAACAGATGGCAAGCAATGTTAGGTAAAGTGAGAAATACACTTTCTTGTATTTATATTTCGTAACACAGCACCCCTTACTTACATAGCTTCCATTTTCGAGTTCAATTTCCCTTTTTATTCGCATTTAGAAACTTTCTCCGACAAAAATAAGTTCAAAAACTCAAAATTTTTGTTAAAATTTTATTCAATTTTAAATTTAACCATTCAAAATGAAGTTCTATCCGGATGCAGACGTTTGGTTCTATGTGGACAAGCCCAGCTGTATGACCAGCTACCAGAAGTACCCGCCGAATCACAGCTGGAAGATTCAGGACAAGACCACATCGCGGAATATGTACTACTGGCGTGACATCGAAGGCGTGAAGAAGAAGCAGATCAAGCTGAGTGACCTGTACTTCAAAAATTGGCCAAAAAGTCGCATTCGACCGCAAGCCTGCTTGGGATTGCTCTATGCCACTGGCAACCGATTCATCCGCCTGACCCAGGCTCCACCATCCGGCTTCAAGTGCGCACCGTTGCCCGTCAATTTGGCTACAGCCCGGATTGTTAAAGGTAAATAGTTTTAAATGCTTGTTTTTGTATAATTTTTATATATTTATTTTGTAACTTTACAGTGGAGCTGCGCAAGAAGGCCAAGCGTGAAAGATTGGCAGCTAAAAAGGCTAAAAGGGAGGCAAAGAAGGCCAAGAAAGCCGCCAAAAAGGGGAAAGGAAAGGGTGGCAAAGGCGACGACCTCAAGCCTAAGGTCATTCGAACCTATAAAGACGCCGAAAAAGCATAAAAACATTAACTATAAATATATTGTAAAGTGTTCTAAATTTAAAAAATGTTTAATAAGTTTTTATGATCTTCCTTTAGCGCGTTTCCTGCCCTCGAATTGCCATAAGCTTACAAGGGCCACATCCTTTTAGTGGGCCTGCAGACTGACGGAGCTTTTAACACCAAAACGCCCCCGTACTTGCCACCTTTACTTCCTTTACTGGAACCCCTTGGGCTACCCTCGCTCGACTGATTGCCTGCATTTAATCAAATTAATTAATGGCACATTTCACATTCATCATTTGCCCGGCTGCATATTTTCCCATTCTTCGATGCAGCGAAAAGCAAAAAGCCAGTGCCTCGCTTCAGGCTTCTCGAAACTGGCACGCCCACGCCGTTTGCCGCCCTTCGCGGCTGATTGAAATTGCACGGCAGTCGCCGCTTCCATTCCATACAACTTTTTGTTGCCGTTGTATTCAGTCTCATTCTTTTTTCGGCACAAATCAACGAACTGCAAAATTCAATTGAAAATCGTTGAATGCAAGTTAATCAGTTCGCTTGGCTACGCTAATTATGTGGCCACTATATGGGTGTGAGTGTGTGTGTGTGTGTGTGGAGATGGGCGGACCGATATATATATATATATATTTACAAATATCCACGGGAGTGGAGCGTGAGCGAGTTATCTGGGTAACGTAACCAAATTATTTGGTTGTCGAATGGTCTGCAATTTAAATTGGACTGAATTGATGGCTTTGGTTGTCCTTACAAATTGATAAACAAACAATAAATTGAACATTGAATTGGCTCTGAATACGTTGGTAAAGTATAAAGTATATTCAAACTGAATCCGATACATTGATAAATGGCATGACGTCATCATGGATTCTTCTGGAAATAAAGTTGTCTCTCAGTTTCAGCCATAATAATCCATTTTGTTATTTCAGCTTATATTAACAATCATATTTATTGGTTAGTTTTGTACTTCGAAACAAGGCCTTGGTTGCTATTAATATTCTTAACATCAGTTTAGTAATATTTTTAAAAATCATAGTAGGCATGGCTATCTTAATCTATAATTAAACTTTTCGATTCAAAACTTATCTCTTTCAAACACAAACTTCCTTTAAAATAAATGATTATATTTAAGATTTAAAGTAACTCTAACTAACATGGAGAAGAAGACAGTGAAAATCAACAATGAGGACCGGCAAAGTTTTGTGGCCACTAAGATGAGCCTGCCGCTCTTTATGGTGTCTCGTAAGTTAGTTTATAACCTTAACTAGAAACTAAACTAGAACTAATATACTTTCCATCTTAATACAAGGTAATCGCATTAAAAGGGAAAACTTGCCAAGAATGGACAAGCAGTTTAAGCTGGCTGGCAAGCATTACAATGCAGATTGCCAGAAGGGTTAGTATTAGGACTACTTTGAAATGGTTAGTTAGTAATGGTTAGTTAATTAATCTCAGAGAACCGCCGAGAGGCCTTCAGCAAGGCCACATACGATCACTATCGCCACATTACGGGCTATGACAAGGCACCGAGAAATCCGTATCCAGAACGACGGCCCCTGCACATGGATCGATCTATGACGAAATGGAGAAGCTGGCAGCTTCCGCCAAATCATTATGGAGTGCCTCCGGAGCCCTATCTCCGTCTCAAGGGAACCAAGGGCACAGTTTTTGCCAAACCACACACAAACCACAGTCGTGTTTCCATCAAGCCACCGCCCTATCAGTTTTACGAACTCCCACCAGAGATTGATCGACTCTTCAAGCGGGAGAACTTGCAGAAGGGAATCTTTTTATCAAGTAAGTGATTAGGATAGGATGGATTTTTAGTATCTAATATTTGACTTCTAGATGCCCGCGATCGTCGTCCGACAACGCACGCCATGATCTCAAACCTTTCCGGCTGCTGGCGTGATCCCAATGAAGCCGGACCCTGCGACACTCATACAAACATCTATGAGATCGCAGCGAATGCCACTCCCATAACAAAAACCCCACGCCCCAATCCCCACCAGTTTCTTCGTCTGTCCTGTGTGCCCACAAAGCCTAGCCGGCTTATACCTCGTCACATCAGCATGGAACCAGCACCGGGTCGCTATTGTATAAGTTACCCGGATCTGTGTCCTTGTCCGGCGGGAAAGACCAGTGTGCCAGGTCTGCAGCTGCTGATCGATGACCAGAAGCGCCTGAAGTTTCGCCGTCAGCCGTTTGAACGGATTAGTCGCAAGAAACTCTGTGAGCCAGATTGGCGGCACGTTGCTGGTCAAGGACACCGGCATATCTTCCTAATGTCCCGAAAGGACAGGCCTAAGCCACCGAAGAAAGCTCCAACTGCTTCGAAAAAGCAGGGCAAGCCCATCAGTATGTTTGCCGATGCCAAGTATATCAATATGCTGAGCCAGCCAAATCGTAATCCCATTTCAATCCGGCCGTATCCAGTTCCTCCGTACGTACCCAAGATCACCTACAATTGTGCCGCCAAACGGATTATGAGAAAGCAATTGAAGAACAACAAGAAGATCGCCTTTAATAGTGGTCAGGAGCGGTGGAAGGATGGAGAGCGACCTCTCCAGTTAACCGCCCGTCAATTGGAGGCCATTAAGCAGAAGCTACCGGAGGATAGGAGACTCAAGGACTATCCCATTGATCTGCCCGAAGTGATTCCCAGTCGATTGACACAGGTGCCCGATCACCAGAGGGTCACCTACATGCCCAAGTTGCGCAAGCGCCTGTTCAAGTTCCTTCCGATTCCTGGAGCTCGTGTCTTGGTCACTGATAGTGATATCCGTCCGGATATTGTCTTCGATCCGGAACATCCCACTGGGCTGTATCGGCGCAGGATCGACGAGACATTGTTCTTCAAGGACTCTGTTCTTAGGGCAATGGAAAATAGAGATGAAGATGAAGAAAATCCAGTAGCCGAATCGCAATCTCAATCCCAGACGCAGTTGGAGCATCACTCTGTAATCCGGACTACCGTCACCCTGGTAGAACCTTCGGAACGGAAAAGCGGTTCCCGGGTATCGATCCATCCTGGAAAAGACTAAGTCGCTCTGCTCCACGTTTGTTCCATTTTTGAAATCCTTTTCGTTTTTGATTTATGATCCTTGCTCGAATGAATTCACGTGGCCACAAGGAGCCCAGCAAGGAGCTCAGTGCTGGCCGCAGGAAAATAAGCTAAAATAAAGATGAGAAAAATTATTCACTTGGAAAATCTGGTTAGGTATTTAATTGCAAAAGGGATTAGTGATGACGAAAAGGAGATGGTTTCGAAGTGAATTACAGCACAGGACTGGCTTAATCCTTGGTTATAGGTCTTAAACTAAAGGGGAACTATATGCAACATCATCATCATCATCATCCGTATTAGTACAAGGTTCCTCAAAAATAATGACTAATGGAAAAATCTATCTATTTTTAAAAGACTGCTGATATCTATTTAGCTTTAAAGGAGCTAGTTCTTCACTACTGGTAATAGACCGGGAGACTAGAGTTTCCTCGTCCTTCCGGCTTGTGCTGCCATAAAACAGGCCAAAGTAACTTTCGACCATAAAATAAATAACTTTTTTAACTGTCCATCTCTGCGTACTTCCCCCAAACCCCTAGCAGACACACACACACACGAAGACAAAAAGGTCAAAACGAAATAATTAAGTTTTGCAAACGTTTTGCGGGTAACTCAGAGCAGGGATCGTAGAAGGAGAAGGAGACGGAGCCGGATCCGGGTGCTCTCTACGTGTGCCCCGCTACATGTGGCCATTAAAATGTTCGTATTATATCTCTCCTTGCTTAGATTGTAAAACATAATCTGTTATCAATTATTTTAGCTTCGTGGCCTGACTAGCTGGATGTGGATGTGCCACAGAATGGGTCGGGGGCCAAAAACTTGCAAAGCGCTCGCATTGCAATTTGGGTTGGGCTTTTTTTTTGGGGTAGAGGAGCTTGGCGGGAGCAAAAGTTTCCAGACCTCACACGCTCACATGCACACAGATATGTATTTATGACTTGGTTAACAATTCTGGCTGCTAAGCAATTTTCCTTCTCTCAGTTCGCCAATGTATAAAAATGGGCAATCTAATCGATTATCGAACTGAGCGACTGCAACTGGGCCTAATTGAGTTCCACAGCTTTCGAAAGTCTTGCCAACTCAGCAGTTGAAAATCTTTTGAAAGATTTTTGAGGAATGACATCATGAGGAAATGGGGCGATGAAAAACTCGTCACACTTCATATTCATTTTGTTACTTTGGATATCAGTCCTAGAGCAATTTTTACGTTCCAACAATTTCTGCAAAATTAGCCGTCACCTGCGGTCGACGAAAATATATTGAAAATGGGCCTGAAACGTTTTGTTTCTTCTCTGTTGCGAAAGGCACCAATCCGTTCATCGGAGCCCGGGAAATTGGCTGCCGGTTGCCCAGCCGTATTCAACGAAGATGGCATGTGGAGTGCCAAGTTCATCATGAAAAAAAACGGAGAACAGGACATGAATTCCGGACATGTGGTCAAGCACCAGTCCAGCCGCAAGGACGCCGAACTGACGCCCTCGTCTGGACTCTCTCGCAAGCGTTCTTGGCTGCAGAGACGTACAATTTCCGTTTCCTAGTAGACCATGTGGTCAAGCCTCCTGAAATGTCAAATCTGCAATTTCATATTTAGCCCGCAGAACATTGCAGATGTGCCTAATTCACATTCTGATGTGCAAAGTAAATAATTGAATATGTTAATTTTAATATTCTCTTTGATTTCGTGGACAAGGGGGCTTGTTGCATACTTTTCGGCATCGCCATAATTCCTATTTTTGGAATCCAAGTTATTTATTGGGCTTTTTAGGATCATAAAAAGTAAATAACGGTTCAATATATCCCTATCAAAAATGAAAATGAACTCTTAAACAATTTCTTAAAAGAGTATATAACCAAGTAAATAAGTTTCGGTTCTATTTATTTGCTGCACTCCCCAACTTCTTTTTTCTGATGAGACTCAATGCAACTTTTGTTTACCAGCTGCTGATTAACAATGGCAGCAGTAGCAGGAACCTTGACTATATGGGCATGGGCATGTCCGGGTTCCATGTTTCCCCCGTTCCAGAAAAATTATTATGGTTAATGCTTGCGCCATTGTCGTGCTGCCCCCATTTTTCCACCGACTTCTTGCCTTGTTGTGCAAATATTTTACACGACACACGAGCTGCACAAAGCCAAAGCGCACAAGTAAAAGTAAATTATAAGCAAAGGCAACAATAGCAACGGCGGCAGCAGCAACAGCAGGAGTTGCCAGTTGCAACAATGATGCAGTACCATGTTGAAACGCAACTGATTGTGCGCGAAAAGTTTTTGTGTTGATGCCACGCGCTCTGCGAAGAAAAAATAAACAGGAAAAAATAGGTGGAGAAGATGTTGGGGCAACAAAAAGACATCGCCCGGTTTTCGGTTAACATGACTTATTATTATGGGTGCAAAAGTGGGAGTGGCAGTACGGACTCATGGCTCAGACTTGCCAACTAGTTCAAGATGAAGTCCTGGTGGAAATGGATCACAGCGAATGCCACAAAAATGAAGGCTCCGCGGTTCTCCCCCTCCTTTGTCATGCGTCTCACAACTAGAAACTAATATGCGAATACGATACCCTATAAAATGGAATGAGTTAGAATAAAGCTTCGTTAGTTTTATAATTATGAAGAAGAATATAATTTTGTGGCGTCGCTAAAAAGCAAGCTGCGTTCTTTTTGTTACCGGAAATAAAATCTCTAAATAAGTTTTTCATAAAGTAGTCGATTTACTTATATTCTTACGAGTTAATAAGAGCATTCTTTTCAATTTTGTTTTCTAAATTTTATATTAAATCTAACAAAGTAGGGAGTGCAGAAATAGTCGCCATTCCAAGGCATTTTTCCCTCACTGTCTTGTCTTGTTCTGTGACTTACTTTTGTGTGTGAGTCGGCCAAACAAATGAGCCACGACTCTGCCAGTGTTGCAGGCTCCTGCTTCGACTTTCTTCCACCAACCCAAAGCCCTTTCGCCTGCACCGACTTTCTTACCAGTCGCGCTCAGCATGGTGCAAAGTCTGCATTAGTCTATGAAAGTTGGAAGCGCGTCGTCTTCGGGGCTCTTTCTTCCATTCTTTGTCGGCGGGTTTTTGTTTTCCATGTGGCTTTTGTTTGGCTTCTTGTTGCAGATTTCTTTATTTACCGCTCCGGACGAAGTGGGTCATGGGGTCGTGGCGTGTGCAAATTGCAGTTGCCAGCGGAGGCGGTTCGGGTGGTCCTTTTTTGGTTTGCTAGTGGGTGTTGGTATTCTTGCGGCTGCACTCGCTGTGCGTGCGTCGACATGTCGACTTTACATTTTCAAATAATTTCTGATTAAGCATGGGCGGTGGGCCTTGAAACCCCCCCGCCACCCAACGCGCCTGAGGGAAATGCCATGACCCCCGCAGTGTGACAAACGCAATGGGTGCAGCAGCCACCATCTGTATGCCCCGCTACTACTTCTGGCTATCCCTTTCTCCTCGTTCTCTTATGGTCTCTTCATGGCAACATGCTGACATATTGCGGGGCATAATTTACCGTTGCTCTCGCCAGCTATTTCTCATCCTCTGGCCACACTGTTTCTGCACTTTTTCTGATTCCTCGCCCGTCGCCGAGTGCAACTAATTTTTGTTTGTTCGCGAAAAGCCACAAAGATTTATGCTTGAGAAATTATGCTTTAAAAGTTGAGCATATGTCTTCGTTGTTGCTCACCGGCTTAAGTAATTTAATACACTTTAATGCCGGCTCTGTCTTACGAATAAACAACTCATACCATCCCTTTCTGGCCCACGTACATAATGTATATTTAGTGTATGCGCATATAAAGGACATGCATTACGGGAGTTAGAGTGGGATAGATGTGTGGAAAGGGGCTGAGGGGGTTTCCAGGGTAAGAAGCAAAATGTTCATAAAAATGCAAATGTGCAAAATGGTAAGAGAGGGAGAGTGGGAGATCATAATGAAAGAGCGAGCGAAAAGAAAAGGCGAAAAGGTTGTGCATTTCGTACATGTGTGTGTGTGGGTTAATGTGCTGTTGTGTGCGTGAAAGCGCGTCACTTTTTGCGCTGACATTTTAAGTGCATCTTTGTGAAATATTTAAACAAAGAATAATTACACACGGCATTACGAACTTAATGCGGCTGAGTGCATGAAATACTCATATCCACGCAAATAAATGTGCAAGTGCATATGTGATTGCGAATGTAAATGTGTGTGTGTGTGCGTGTGTGGGGTCAAAGGGCGGCAAGGTGAAGGTTTAACGGCTTATTACGGGACACGACAGTGCATGTCTTTCCCAAACTCTTTGTTTTCTTCTTATCGAGAAGCAAGTATTGAGATTACAAGCTAATGTAAAATTTGAACCATCAACCCATCAACTAGGACATTGAAGTTAATCCTTGTACTTTGTCCGTATGCCCATTTGTCCGTTTAAAAAATAGGGCTTTTGGTAAGAACTGCATATAAAACACCCTATTTCCAATATTCAATCTTAAAGTGTTCTAACCTTTATAAAAACCAAGAATTCCTTTGTCCCCTTCCAAATAGTTATCAATATTTCGGTTTAGTCGAACAAGTCAAGCATCTAGCTGGCATGTAAAATGATTTTAAATTAACGCTAGGCTGTACAAATTGGCCAGCATGTTTGGCTGCAATTGCATTTTCCGAATGCCAAGCTGCATCAGGTTGACCCGCCCCTCCACCTCGATGAGCGGTTGTTGTGACAAGGACTTCGAGCTGGTTACCCATGGCTAAGCCAAAGTTATGGCGATTGCAGTTGGAAATGCACACACACACACACACATACATGGCAGGGAAAATCAGTTCGAAAATTGAATTCGACTGCAGCAGTGAAGGGCAGGAGGAGAGGATAGAAGGGAAAAGGGTTTTCCAGATTGGGCTGCTGGCATACCAAGAACTCAACTGGAACTCCACTGGCTGAGTGGACCCGAAGTGACTTTGTGCTTGCCATTGACTAAAACAAATGGGCTCCACAACATCTTTTACTGTCAGCTGCAACTTGTCGCTCTGTCCATTTGTGTGTGCCACTCCTACTTCCCCCCCCCGTGACCACTTTCAAGTCCGCCGATGACCCCTACTACAGCTTCTAACCGTCCTCCTGGAATCCTACGAGTATAAATAAAATAAATATTTATATTGAAATGCAACGCAATCGAGCGCAACAGAATTGAATTTCAGAGCTTTGCTTTTGGCTTTTTGTGCCTTTTGCCTTTCGGCCTTTGACTTGTCCGCAGCTACTAGCAGACTGGCCAACCAACCGGAGGAATAACGATCCGCCGGAGATGGAGATGGAGATGGCCATGGAGATAGAGCTTGGAAGATAGGGTCCAAGATGAGACGGCAGCGATTTTAGTTTCTCAAATTGAATTTTGCGAACTTTGTTTGGCATTTAATTGCATTGCAAGTTGCGTTGCAATTCCAATTGATTCCGAATGAGCTGAGTGCTGCAGGTGAAGCGTCCCCAAAAACGATTCAATCCCATTCAATTGGATTGTCTTTTGGGTTCGTAATGCGAAATAGTTTTGCTGTTAGTTAGTTGACACAACTTATGTGAATTTAAACATTGTTTGTTTAGTTCACTTGCCAGGTTGACTGAGCAAACTGAAATAGTGCCAGAAAATAATGCAGAGCGGCAATAATAACCTTGCGGACTTACTAATCCTTTCGAAGCTCAATCAAATAAATCAAATGGAAGTCAGACTATGAAATTGCTTAAGATTTATTCAGGGTAATTTATTAAAATTTGAAGGCATTCGTTTAATTGAGCAATTTCTTAAGGCATTTCAATAATTAAAGGTTTTACATTGCTTAAAGGTAAGGTAAGCTGTTCAGCGAGTCGTATACGTAATTTTAATTGGGTTTTCCCTAAAGAGGATCTGAAAAAAAGGCGATTTCGAAACTGACAGACTTAAAAACCTCTTAAGATATCCTTGCCACTCACTTGTTAAATATATAAATGTATTTCCTTAAACTTTTGTTTAGCTTTTCAAAGTCTGATATCTGGGGAAAATGTCCATTGTGCATTATGCAGTAGCCGCGTTGGGAGGAATATAAAATTACATTACTCAACAAACAAAGCAACAAATTATCATTTAGATAATACTTTTTAGTGCTTTTCAGCACTCCCCTTCACCGTCTTTCCCCAGCTGTCTCTGTCTGCCAGCCTTTCACTTACCTAACGCATGGAAATTTTTTCCATCTGCATGCATTTTCTTTGTGATACCCAGGGTAAAGCCAGTGGAGCATATCAGGCAATCAGCTAGCGGGCAATGGAATTTTTCCCGGGATACTCGACATTCCTCATACCATCTGAGCATTTGTGGTGCGTGGGAAAGCGCGTAAAGTAAAATGTAAGTGGCATGCATGGGAAAAGGAAAGGCATCAGAGAGTGGAATGTGGCGAGGAATGGGTAACATAATACGCGGAATAACAAAAGCGGAAAAGTGTGCAAAAGCTGTCTAGAGAAGCTGCCAGCCAAGGAGATAAGAGATGGAGCACACTTGGCAATGCAAATGTCCCTAATGTTCGCTTTATGTCTTTGTTTTTTTCGTGGCATCCCTTCGAGGATATTCAGGATATAGTACTTTTTGGTTCTTTGAGTGTCTGAGTTTGTATCAGGACATAAAATTGATTAGTGACAGAAACAGCTAGCTTGTCTCAAACTTTCCGAATACTATTTTTTTTCTGCTACGCAGCTAATTATTTGCATATTTTTCTTTTACCTAGCCCAGACGTGCGACAAGAACTCCCGGAGTTGGTCCTAATTTGAAAGGTTTTTCCTTTGCTACTTACCTCAGTAGGAAAACCATCGCCGTTTCCCCCTTCTAGCTTCTCCTGCTTGCCACAAAGACAAATGCAAATGTCAGCAGAGTGTTGGCAACTTTTTCATTTTGCAACTCTGCCAGGACTTGGGTTTGCAGTTGTCATTTTGCGTTGCGCAAATGTCAAACTTATAGACGCTAAGCCACGTGCCAGAGGGAGTGAGAGGAGGACAGAGACCCCAGATGCCAACTACCCGACCACTCATTTTCCATTTTCCGATTTCCACTCATACTCCATCCTCACCTTGTTGTTACACTGCGTGGCATGCCAATGTTGCACGTTCAAATTAACTTTAATGAACCCAGTTTAGTTGCAAATGAGTTACAGAACTCGAAAAACACATCGAGACGTGTTTAGTGAGCAATGAGCAGGCGAAGGGCCGGGGACTCATTCGGTTAGCTCAGGTGTTGGCTTAGGGGTACTGCTGACTTTTCCAGCACCCAACTGCATTTGTATTATTTTCTATGTCGAAAGGAAAGAAGTTTGAATGTAGAAATGGAGATATCATTATGGAATTTATGGTAGTTATCATCACCAAGTCATCAACCTATAAATAAAATTCTTAATCAACAGCTTGCCAAAATAAATCAGTTTTTCTAGCAATCATTCAAGAATCTATCAAGACAGAGCTACAAGCGAAGGGTTCAATACTCCCAAACTGAAATTTGAAATCATACAACCCAAACCCTTTCATCCCAAAGTCAGCCATCCAAAGACAACTTGAATTTGTTACAAAAAATCCCAAATATGCAGGAATAACTTGTATGAAATGTCAAGTTTTGTGTTGGTGACAGTTCAAAGATTGCAAAAATTTCCACACTAAGGTGTGTGGTGAAAACTTTTTATAGATACCAAGGTCTACTACGACCATCTTAGTAAATATTTGTTGTGAGGAAAACGAAAACGAAACAAATAAATATATACAGGAAATAGGGAAAGGACTTTCACTGAGCCAATGGCCTTTTACTTTCTGACAGTCATGCTTATTTATGACCCCCCGCGACTTGAGAATATCCTGGCCAATGTGCCATAGGGATTTTTAAGCCGCGTCAATTTATTGGCCGACTGTGTGCCGATTAGCCAAATATCGAGATTAGGCCTAAATCAGCATCGACAGGCAATCCAATTTCGTGGGCCACGCGAAAAGGCTTATAGACTAGCTTTGGTTTTTCGGCGGTTCGTTGACTTTTCCCGGGCTCTGGGCCAAAAACATCTAAGCAAAACAGAAATTGAAATAACACCAAAGATAACTGTGCTGGTTTGGTAGTTGCCAGCCAAGTGCCAAAAAAGTGTGAAAACCGCATCAGCAAATGCTGACAAAATGACTCGGCGACCGACGAACTACCCGTCCGACCGACTGTTTTGGCCAGGTCTGGTTGGCCATGTGGCTGTTGTGGTCGGTGTGGCAACAAATGCGCATGTGGCAATTGATTTATTCAAATGAAATCACAGCAAGAAAAGCCAGCCAAGGGAGCTGCGGTCAGCATTAGGTAACTTATGCACTTAGGCCAAAATAAACATCAGGCCTGGCTAGCCGCACAACTTAACTAGAACATATTCTATTTATATGTATGCATTTTGGGGTTTCCCCCAACAAAAACCTTAACTCTTATTGATCAGAAAAATTTAAATGTGTTTATTGGGGGGAAACTGTTTGTTTTCCCAAGGCATTTATTCTAGGTGTTTGGCTCTTTGGTAAAAGTCATTGGTGTCGTTAACTGGTTTCCGTTTGGAATATTTAAAATTGGAATTTTATTTTAAATGGGCTTTAAATCTATTTGTTTTAGTTACTAGATTTTATTTAATTACAAATTTAACTACCTTTTCTTTGACTTCCTTAAGTTTAGTCAAATCTTAAACTACTTTCTTTGGCCTTCAGTCTTCCTCCAGATTATTGCAATCCACTCCACCCAGCCAGCAGTCCATTCCAACCCCTTACACCCATCTGGGCATCTATCCAATTGCGAAACGCAGCCACATTAGCATAGACTCCCGGATAGTTGGGATTAGCGCAGCCCAGACCCCAGGACACAATACCATAGAGCCTAGCCGGACCTTCATCCGCTGGAAATCCCACCAGAGGACCACCGGAGTCACCCTGACAACTATCACGGCCAGGACGCGCTGCGCAGATCATCCGCTGGGTTACGGGCAACACCTGGCGATAGGCACGGCGGCATTGATCCGGCTCCACCAGGTCCACGTCCACGAAGCGTAGTTGCGGAGACACTGAAACTTCTGTACTGACCAAACTCTCTTCCGCCTGAAAGCCCCAGCCGCTGACCAGGAGACGGGTGTCCACGGTGGGTGGGTCCGCTAATGTGGCCAGCGGCACTGGCTGCAGGTGCTCCGTGAAATTGAGCCTGGCATGCAGGATGAGCAGCGCCAGGTCGTTGTCGTGGCTCTGGGGATTATAGCCGCCGTGGGTGATCACCTGCCGTAGGCTGAGCACATGGCCGCCACTGGCATGCTCGCTGGAGCCCACTCGCACGGTGTAATCATCGCTGCTCCAGGGAATCTCGAAGCAATGGGCTGCCGTCAGTACGAACTGGTCCCCGATGACGGCTCCTCCGCATATGTGTTGGCCGTTCAACTGGACGGATACTTGATAGGGAAATTCTGTGATGGTGGTCACCTCACCACCCACAATCCGCCCATCACTGGGAGAGGGTGTGACACTACCAAATGCCACGAGAATTACTAGGCACCCTAAAAATCCCGCCGAGTACATTGCACCGTCTGACTGAGGAATACTTCCGAGTCTTGGCTTTATATCATCGTCAGTGGGTCGGAACTTATCGGTCTGTCAACAGAGTTGGTAATTAAATCTGTTTGCCATTTGGTAATTTGGGGTGAAATTGGTCTTATCGCGAGATATTTGCTTACTCACCAAGGTGACGGAGACGCGTTATCTGACTTTGACCCAATAACCTTGGCACTTGTAGATAGAGCGAAGTGGGTCTAGCAAATGGGGGTTTCTTGTTTATTTATTTTTGAGATAAATTTTTTAACTTAATAACTGGTTTATTTCAATAAAAAAGTGTGGAAAGTAATATTCAATGATTTTATTAGGTATTTTTGAGTATAAAGTTATGATTTATTGGAATAAAAAGTTATTATTTTCATTATTTCAATCAGAACTGCAAAATTTATCGTTGATAAAATCTTTATATTTGCACATTTAGTTTTGTAATTAAAGTAACAACTTTAAAAAATAGTTTGTAAAGAGAAATAGTAACTCATAAATAACATCAGAGAAAGAAGATAAAGAAGTGTTCTTGCAACAATTTGTAGAACAACACTCTCTGGGCATTTAAGACAGGTCACAAGGGAAAACGAAACCCAATTAGATGGGCTGCATAATGTTCAATTACACAGGCTTCCACAAATTAAGTAAGCAAGGATGAGGTCCTGCCTTTGAGCCAGGATAAGGAGTCATATTTCACAGCTGGCCAGTCTGTGGGTGGGGGGAGGGTAGTGGAAAAGTTGATTCAGATTCAATGAATATGTTAACAACTCGTAGCCAGGCCAAGAGAGAGACATGTGTATCTGCATTATTTGCATAGAGTCAGTCAGTCTACTATTTCATTATGAGATAAAACAACCTGCCCCAGTAACAGCAACAACTTATTAGTTTAGACAAAAACGAATTGCATAAATATTCCAGAGGAGTCCTTGACTACGTCTCAGTGCTAAGATATGGGGGCAAAGGACAAGATACGTTGAGGACCAGGCAAGTGTCAGTGCGGGCAGGCACTAATTGTTTCATTTTGCCTGCCAGACAGTAAACAATTGCAGAATCCACAAATATATGTTAGCCCACACACACACACACTCCCGGTCACATATGTAGTTTACATTTTAACAAAATTCAATTTCCTGCTCCTGACACTTAAGCAGGGGCGGGGGCATAGAGTTTCTTCACATGCTAATTGCCTGGCCGGCAATTAATTAAACATGGCAGGAGTTAATAAAATGCAGAGCAAGGTTACTCCTCGATTCATACATTATTCAGATGAATCAACAAAAAGTTGAATAATCGTAGGGCATTTCATGTAACTTTTTGCGGTTGCATTTTATCCTGGAAATGTGATCAATATTCGTTATTGCTGAATTGGAAATTCGAATGGAAACAAGAAATTGCTTATAATATCTGAAAAAGAGAGTTTTTATATATCTTCTGGTATCGGAATATGTTTTTACATAATCAGTTTTCGATTTTAAGTTTGGTTTTATGTATCAAAAAACTAAAAAATCTGTGTAAATGTTGATTTTTTTAGTTAGTTTAGTACAACCCACATGATGTTTAAGTAATTCCACCTCGTTTCCTGCTTGACTTTGTTTTTATGTGCCATTTTATTCCAGAAATTGTGCGAGTTAATTGCGTGTAATTGAGAATTCTCTCAGAAAATTCGTCACATAACTCTCGTCAGGACATAAATCTTGTGTTGTGGAGAGGTGGTTTTACAGGGGCTGGGGAGGGGGATAAACTGGGGGTTAATTGCAGGGTAAAGAACATCAATTACCCACAAAAAAAAGAAGAAGGGAAACGCGAAAAGCCAAAGAAAAACCGAAGAAGGCAAACGCTTGCCGCAAACTTCTCGCCGCTCACTCCTCGCACATAAATTATGCAGTCAATTTTTTTGACTTTATTATAAAATGCGTGTTTATTATGCCATAAAAGCGAGAGGGCAAAGCATGGGCGCCGAAAAAGTGTTGAAAAGTGTGGTAAAGTGTCAGTATTAAGCGTGAAATTAATTACAAACGCTTACTTAAGTTAAATATTTGAAGGAAGCCTTAGAGCGACAAACAGGCTAAGGAAAAGAAAAGGACCTCCAAGGAGCCCCCAAGTTGAGTAGTGAATTCGACCGGACAGAGGACTCTTCTTTTAGCTTGGCCCAGAGCTGCCGGTAAGACGAGCCACTTTATCAGCCGAAACGAAACGAAACGTAACTCCACTTCACTTCCTTCAGTTTTCCAAAAATATATACTACAGGGCTTGCGTTTTCTTTTTCCCGCTTTTCTCTCTGCGACCCCATTTTCCTGGGCTATGCTTTTCTTTTTTGTTCGGCTTAAAGCGCAAGTTGAACATTTCATTTGTCATGCTTTTTGCTGCTGCTGTTACCTGGCTTCCTTTGCTTTTCAGTGCGACATCATCTCTCTTCCTCCCACGCATATGTTGCGCCAAAGTATTTGACTGATTGCCGGGGACAGCAGCAGCAGCAGCAGCAGCAGCGGCAGCAGCAGCAACATCGAAGAAATTCTAAAAAATGTATGCTAACGGCAGCGTCGGTGGCATTGCTAACGGTAAAGTGTTGCAAATAGCTTTTTTGCGTTTTTGAATAATTTATAAGATGTGTTTACTCATGAAACCGAGTGACTAAGTGTTGCCAACTTTGGGTGTTGCTGGATGTTGGCTGCTGGATGTTGTGTGGGCGGTGGTCGGTGGGTGGTTGGTCAACTGATGGCCTGGCAAATGAAACACGATAATTTACTTAGGTGCAATGCGGTTGTTCGAAAGCGACAACTTGAGATATTGCTGCGAACGATTTGAGTGGACGTTTCAGTTCACAGAAAGAAAAGCTTTTACCAACAATCTGAATAAGTTATGTATACAATCTGCTGCAAGGTCCTTCCAAGCCAACCAACAGCCATTTCCTAATTGTGCTCATTATCTGCTAAATGTGCGCAAATTTATGTGACGCACGCAGTTGCCTCACCAACTGATTTGATTACCCGTACGTGAAGCGGCAACTGCAAGGCCAAAAAAAACAAAAGGAAAAGCTGCTGGAGGTGCCGGCCCAAATTGAGTTGGTCTACCTGAGCCCACCAAGCCCTGGAAAAGCTCATAAAACATGTAAAATGCCAAAAAAAAAAACAGAAAAATGGAAATCTACTCTGCGCTCACTCTTTTATTTTCCCAGCCAAAGAAGCTCATTAAAAATTCGTAGAGCGTTCTATTAAATGTTCATGTTTTGCATAGAAATAATGTTGCCCAAAAAATAAAGGCAAGCGGCTACATTTGCTTGTGTGGGCGTCGTTTAGAGCCTTACATGCCACAGAGTTCCATATGTGCTGTTCTGCGGCTTGTAAATTCAATTGATTCTATAATGATGACGCATTTAATTAACCCATCTTGGGGCATGCAATGCCAATGAGTTGGAAATTTGTTAAATACTTAAAGTATAAAAAAATTTCCCTTAAGAACGAAGTCAACTTAAATGTTGCCCTTAGTAACAGTCCGTTGCTGTAGAGTTCTACTAACTTTTAGCTGTTTATTATGGCTAATAAACAAGCCATGATCACCACCCAACAACCCTCTTAGTCAGCGTCGACCACTCATAGTACTTTATTAAACTTCCAGACATGGAGCCCACCACAGTGGTCAACGCGGCGGCAATTCCCAATGCTAATGCTAAAAAACCTACTCAACAGGGCCGTAAGAAATCTGGGCCCAAGTTTGAGCTATCCGAAGCGCAGAAATCTGATATCAAAGAAGCCTTTGACTTATTCGACAACGAATGCACTGGCTACATCGAGGTCAAAGAGCTCAAGGTGGCCATCAGAGCCTTGGGCTTTGAGCCCAAGAAAGAGGAGATCAAGAGGATGATCGCCGAGATCGACAAGGAAGGCAACGGAAGGCTAACGTTTAATGACTTCCAGCACCTGATGACCATGAAGATGGCCGAGAAGGACACCAAGGAGGAGATACTTAAGGCTTTTCGGCTTTTTGATGATGATGAAACGGGGAAGATCTCCTTCAGGAACCTGAAACGAGTGGCCCGTGAGTTGGGTGAAACGCTGACAGATGAGGAGTTGCGGGAGATGATCGACGAGGCGGACTTGGACAACGATGGAGAGGTCAACCAGGAGGAGTTTCTGCGGATCATGAAGAAGACTAGCTTGTATTGAAAAGCTAAATGTTAATTAAGAAACAAATTTAATGATCAATAAATACATTAATTTTTCTATCTAAACTCTCGGTTAAAGGTCACCCTACATATGCTTCTATTAGGCCAATCAAACCAATAATTTGTCAGCAGGAACAACGGCAATGACAAAGATAAACTGCAATATAAACATATAAATCAAATCACAAAAGCCACAAAAATAGCCAAAAATCGAAGGGCGGCTAGGTATTGGTAGTAAGTCAACGACTAAGCAGGAAATGCCATTGAAAAACACGTAATCACATAGAAAACATACACACAACATCCCTAGCATTGAGGGAGAAATCATAGAATTTCATTTCAATGCTTATCATATTTGTGAGATTTTTTTCTATTTGTGTCCTGGGGGGTCGAACGGTGGTCAGCGCATACAAATGCAAAACGGAAATGACATGAGGGATAAATCAGGAAATTGCTAAACATCAAATAAAGCTGATACAGCTATGTAAGTGTATTGATGTACGGGAATCGAATAGAATCTAGAATCGAATCGAATCGAATCGCTTGGCTTCATGTTCGCCGGACAAACGTCGGCGATGTCAACAATTCAAAATCATTGCAATGATGACGGGGCAAACAGATGTGGCAGTCGCTGCTGCAGTGCTGCTGCTGTGCAACGAAAAATTCAATTTTGCAATATGACATCCGGCGGCTGGCAGACCAGCCACCCACACACTCACACACCATCACGGCGTATACTTAACGCCGCAACGCTTCAGTCAACAGGGCCCGTAGCGATTGACATGCCCCCATTGTTCGCCGGCTTTTTAACTGCTAATGTTACGTTGGCCCCTGCCAATGCCAATGCGCCAACTGCTTACGGCTGCTGACTGCTGGTAACTGGATACTGGGATACTGGGATCCAGGATCCTGAATCCAACATCCTGCATCCTGGCCATCTGCAACGCTGCAGTTTTCTGTCAAACAAGGACTGCCAATGCCTGTGAGTTGCTGCAGTTCGAGCTTGTGGCGTTAGAGTCAACAGCGAAGCTTTTGGCTCTGGCCAATTATGGCCAGCAGCATTTTGAAATTCGATAACAGAGATGGAAGTAACACTGAGTTTCAGGACGAATCCTTATGGCTTATGTGGTTGGTACAGACTTAATAACTTTAAGTATGTTTAGAAAGAACTTTTTTGGATGGAGATTTTAGATAGATTTATCTTAAGAACCGTTTCCATAACCATAACATTGGGTTATTTTTTAAAAATGTCATTAACCGCCTCTCCACTTAATTCCCTTTTCATTCAGTCGCCACCTTCAAGAGCGCACAACTCTTGTTGCAACAAGAAAAAACCAGTAAATGGCACTCGAGTTGCGGCGCTTTGGCAACTTCAAGTGAGGCACGGCACAAATTGTTAGGCATCGTTCTACATTCCCTCTCTCGCTTTCTCTACCACAGCACGTTGTCAGGATGCGGCTGTAGGGTTTGGATAGACGACGGGTAGGGCGGTGGAGGTTGGAAAATTGTGCGAGTAAGCAGCGCAAATTTAATTACACTTAATTAAGTGCAAAAAATTCGTACAATGCTATTAAAATGTGCTTCAAAATGGCTTTGGTTTTATGTATTCGTGTATATGTAAGTCTATGTGTGTGTGTGTGTATGTTGAAAGTGTGCTCGTATGTGTGCAGAGTAGTTTGCCAGTGCGTCTGTGTGGGTGAGCGAGTGAAAATGTAGTTTGCATTTATTAGAACATTTTTGTGGCAGAGCCATAAAAATGCTTTGCCGTACATTAACTTCTTTTTTGGGCTAAAAACGATAAAGTTGTAGGAGCTGAGTAAAAAACTTGCTAGATATATATGCTTTTTGGGGGAAGAAATCATAAATTAAATTGTTTTAAATTTTTAAATATTTGAGTTAAGGTAAAAACATGACTCGTTTTTATAAAATAAGAGATATATTCCTCTCTGGATAACTTTTTCTATATATTTTGTAATCTTTTGCAGATTTAAATTCGTGGAAAGGCAAATGAATTTTCTTTCAACTTTCAGAGTTTCCTGATCTTATTATCATTTTCCTCAGCAGTCATCGCGGTAAGACTCTTTCTGTTTTATAGTAAACGATGGTTGAGCACGCTGAATTACCTTTCGGAGGGCATTTAAATAGATAGCCCGAAACAATAAGAGGCATTAAGCATTTTTTTTATTGTTTTCCGTGGCGTTGGCTTTATGACTTATTTTCCTTCGACGCTATTACACATAATTTCTGGCTGCTCCAAGTAAATATATATACGGGTGTATATATATTTTTGTCTTATTTATGAGTTGTTGCCGCTGTCCGTTGGCCGTTGTTGTTGGTTATTTTGGGTTTAGCGCGTTGACAGCATGTGGCTGGAACGGCGGCTACTTAGCATCATCGCAGGATGCTGAATCCTTATTATCCTGCCACTTTCCAGTTGTCGGTCTTATGCTTCCTCCTCCTTGTACTCATCTTCTGGCCTGGTCGCTGTTGTTGCCTTGGCTCTTGGCTCTGACGGCTGTTGTTATAAGCCGCTTTTAGCCGCTGCTCCGACAATCCGCGTCTGCTGCTACTTATTTTGATTAAATTTACATAATTTTCTGTACAGCACCCGCCACCCAGCACTCCCTCAATCAGTCCGTTTCAGTTCTATATAGTATTTATTTTTCGGCGAATATTTGTTTCCCCTGCAATCTTCTCTTATCGCTGACCCATTAATGCATTTTCCTCTCGCCACTGATATTTGCTCAATCTTTATGTTAACTCAATTGCCAATATCGTGTGCAAATATTTCAACAGCTTGCCAGCTAACAAAAGGAGAAAAAAAAACAGAGGACTTTGTAACTATTCCCAGTCAATGCCACGCCTCTCCCTGGCAGGGCCCACTTACGACCACTGACATACCGACAGACAAAAGCGCCAGTTGAGTGTATAATTTGCGCTTTGTCTGACTGTCAACACTTTTAACCCATTTTTGTTGGTTGTACATTTTGGCTATGCAGATGGATCGAGTACAGTGGGGATTAAGTGTGGGTCTTTTTTGGGTTACAATGGAATTATACAAGTTAATTTCGAAATATAGAAAAAAGGAACGAATGGAATGGATTGGAACGAAAAAGGAATAAAACTGTTGCATACTTACGAGGGCTCCTGATGCGAAATGACAAGTTTTTGTAATTTTCATATTGAAATTCAAATACTTTGCAAATCTAAGCTAATTTTTCATAGCTATTATGTATCAATTTTACATGCACCATTCTTGCAAAGTACAACCTATCGTTAGCTTACTGTAGCTAACGTTTTTCCGAGTACTTTTTTATTCATTTGCTCTTCAGACTAAGGCTCTGTTCCTCTCTCTTCTTCCCTCGTACTCACTCTTTCTCTCTTACTAACTTCATCCTTTTCTATATCCTTCTAGCACTCGAAGGACACACAATTGCAGTGCGTTGAGCATTAACAGTTTTTCCGCCAGTTCGTTCTCAGCTCAGCTCTGCTCTACTCAGCTTGGGCTGTTGAAATAATATTTGCGATCATAATGGATTTTGCCAATTTGAATATTATTACACACGCATACATAGGAGATTACACACACACACACAAACACTCACAGGGCAGGCAGTCAAATTTTTCGTTCAAAGTTGGCAAACAATTTTCTTAAGTAGTCAACGCTCGGGGTAGTTTAGATTTTGCATACTCGCATGTGTATGCAGATGAGTTTTGGCCAGAGAACTTCATTTGCTGCTGGGGAAATTGATAAAAATTTTACTAGTACTCGAGTGGGTGGTGAGATGGTGGGCTTCTTCCAGTGACCGAGTTAATAATGAAGTGCGTTTGCCAAAAGTTGAATTGCAAAAGGGAGGCGGACCATGGCAAAGGCAGGCAAGCTGAAGAAGCAGCAAGATCACACAAAATAATAATGCCGATGGGCAAACAGTGTGTGGCATATTAGCTGGAGTTTGCCACAAACCAAACATGGCTCGCTTTGCCAACCAACAGCCAGCAACCAACAACCGACAACCAACAGCTAACAGCCAACAGACAACCAACAACCAGCCGAGCAAATGCAAACATCGGGCGCATTATCATTGCCGGGCAAATGACGTACAGAGATTAAATATTTGCCCGACTCGACTCTGTCTGGGCACAAAAACAACAACAACAACAACAGCAAGAAGCAACACTGCAGAGAGAAGAGTATCATCCATCCGCCCCGTTGCCGTGGCATTCTGGGCATTGCGCATACGACATGTAGCCCTTGCTCAAATATTAAAAAATAAGCAGCAACCTTCTCGTTCCTTCGTCCTTCCCAGCTCCCTGGCAACTATGGCACATAATATTCAGTGCGTTTATACATCTATTTCCTGGCCCAAGGCTCCTTCTCCACAGACAAACCCAGCGACCAAAAAGCCAACAAACACTGTTGACAGCACCAAAAGTAATAAAACTTTAGGCGTTGACTGACTGCCTGAACTGAACTGACTGACTGACTGAATGAGTGATGGACTGACTGACTCACTGACTAACTCGCTGAGTGAATTCTTTGAGTCTCCGGCAGTGAAATTCCATTTGTGACCTTCAAAAGGTTGCACATAGATATTCGTATTTATTCAGCTTTTTCTGGGCATCAAGTCAACATGGAAAAAATCATATTAATGAGTTGAAAGGAGGGTGGGTGATGCAGCAAAGTTTTAATCCCAACCAGGTTCGTTAGAGGTTTCCTTTAGGAAAAATCCAATATATTTTTCACTAATGTCTTAACCCGAAACGCGGAAATATTACGACTTTGTTTTAGCCACCTTCTCCTCCCTCTGCCAATACATTTTTCATTCTCAATATTCCGCTGTTGCGGCTGCAGAAATTGACAGGAATAAAGCAAAACTGTAAAGGGAAAATTTGAAAATCCGCTACTTTCTGGGAAGGGGTGGGAAATGGACATGCTATGCATGCTGAAGCTCTGTCGCATTTATTACCAGCCACACCCCCCCTGTCAATGCGGGCGGGCAA